CCTTCTTCCGAAGAAGGGTCTAGGCCCGAAACATCAGCTTTCCTGCTCCTCTGCTGCTGCTTGGCCTGCTGTGGTTATCCAGCTCTACACCTTGTTATCATAGTATAGACCTTGTCCATTCTTGAAAAAATAATGTTATCTTGACAAGCTGTATACGATGCAAGAGACAAAAAACCCTTACCATGTTAACATTGTAATGCTAATGCTGTTTGTTAAAATGTTTCCTGATTACTGTACAAATGATTCACACCAGCTGTTAGCCTGAGCATGGTTTGCACTGCTTGAATACATTTACACTATAGATGTAATGGGGATAGACAGCTGAGAAAGCCTCGAAAACAGAACAGTCAAATGCAAATGGTATTATTTTGGTGCATTTAGTTTGGGTTGGTGCTCAGACAGAGGTAAAACACCACTCTATATGTATGCAACTTGTAAGGATTGCATTAGATTCACTAAAGAGCTAAAGTGTTAGCTTTCTGAAAAGCCTATATTCTATCCAACATCTTCCAAGTAGATTCTCAGTAGACAAAATCTGTCTGGTTTTATGAATTGACTCAAGTGGTTTTTCATTTAGTTATCATTGAATTCTCTGTATAACTGTGCCCATGAATCAAGATGTTTGATCTCGTTAGGACAGTGTTGTGATGATATGAGCCATCTCCTGGAAATGATGTAAGTCATTGATGAGACCCTACTGTTCATATTGGATTGACACCGTAGATTACCTCATATAAAGAAATATTTTGAGATGATTTTTCTCTATGCATTGATACCATTACTCCTGGTCAGAATGGAGGTGATTGAATATAACTCTTCTCCTGCCACTCATACCTACTGTAAGAGAGTTGGCTTCAGTTTTTACTCACATGATTTGTGTTATTCAGCTGTCCTCCACTCAGCGCCTTTTCCTGCAAAAATAAGCTTGCTTTTATCAGGAGATGTATACCGTTCATGCTGTCATTTATGGAGAACTGTTTTCAATAGATTCTGTTTGTTGCCTTAGTGGTTTGTTGTGTGAAAAGTAGACTGTCTCCTGTGAGCCCTGCCCCAAGACCATCCCTGAATGGTGTAAACTAGACACTTTGGGCTATTGCAGAGTCAGGTCTCTGCTAAGGAGAAAGCAATAGCAATGGGGAAGGGAGGAGGAGTCTTGTGCCCCCCGCTCCTCAGATTTGATCATGTGAGGGAGGTGGAAGTCATTCCCCATATTGTCCAACCAGTCCTTCATACAGAATTAGGCCATGAAGCATCTGCATCTTGATAGTGAGGTCTGAGAAAGAAATGAGTTGGAGTAGACAACAAGTCTTGATATCAATGCTCTAGTTACTAAGTAGATTAAAGGACAGGGCCAATATTTGTATCAAACATTGTGGTATGACAATTTGTTTAGATTTTGAAACCCTTTTTTCAGCATTATTTGACATTTTGAACACAGTAAAATTCCTTAGATTGCAGTTCATATTTCGCTAAAGATGAAGGTGTCTGTCAGTGCCTTCAGTGGAGATCCATTAAATGTTTTATTAAGCATCACTCAACACTTCCCTGATTCAATAGAACAGCAAGCGATATTGTTAATCCTGTAGAGAATAATGACTGCATTTCACAAAGACTGAGATATACTTTGCGATGAACTCAAATTAGGAATGGCTCTTTGTGAATAAAAGTTTGTTTGTTCTTAACGTCCAAGCTTGAATAATAGCTTCAGCCAAAGACCTTGTTCCAGAGAAACCATTTGGAGCAGAATAAAATGCTGAGCATTGCAAACAATAATCTAAAATATTAATGTGAATTCTTTGTATGTGCACTGAAAATAGACAAAAACCGTTTTTTAAAATAGTTCTTACATAATTTTAAGATGGATATTCTTTTCATTTGCTTGAATGCGAACAAAATATAGTCAGATGTTCATTCTTGCATACCAGCTATTGAAAAGGATCACAAATTAACTGCAGGCTGGCTGCTGGTGGAGTTGTCTGTATA